CTGGGCCTGGAAGGCCGAGACGAGTCTGCACCCAGGCGTCGGCCGAGCACCCTCGGGCTCCGGGGCCTGGCCTTCCTGCCCCGCGGCCTTGGCCTGCTCCCGCGTCCAGGGGCTCTCTGCGCGGGGCCCCCTCTCGCATCTGGTGGCCTCAGCTGGGCCCGAGCGCCGCAAAGCCTCGGTGTGCAACTGAGGTCGCAGTCACAGGTCTGGCCTAGGCTCCTCGGGGGCACGGTCAGCCCCGCACAGGCCAGCGAGGGCCAGCGGGCTCCGGGTTCCTGCGGCCAGACCAAGGAGCCTGGCCGAGGCCGAGGCGTGGCCTGTGCTCCGAGGCCTGTGGAGGCCAGCAGAGGCCAGCGGTTTCTGTGAGCGGTGACCGGTGCAACGCTGAGCTGGGAGAGCTGTTTTCCTCCGGGACCCCACCCCCAGAAGCTGGGGCTCCCCACGCCTGCCTTGGCGCCGGCCCGGCCTGCTAGTCCATCACTGGTGACATTTAGCATCGCCTGCAGCTCTGCAGGGAGCGACTTTGAACCCGCTTGCTGTCAGAACCCGGGTCAGCGCGGGCCTGGGGCAGGGGTGTGGGGGCGGGGTCCCCGCCAGGCCCCGGTCCTGGACCTGCCCCGCGTGCCCCGCTCGGCCTGCTGGCCCGGGCCTGGGCCTGCCTCTGGCCGCAGCCAGGTGTGCGTCCTCGGGGATCCTGGCGCCCCGGGGCTGCCCTGGTGTTTGCTCGGCCTCTTCAGGGGCCTCTTCAGGGGCCTCTTCAGGGCTCTTGTCCACCCGGGGCTGGGTCCTCGGGGTGGGTGGGGTGGCCTGGCCACAACTATGCGTGGGAGGCCCAGAGCACTTCTGGGTGACTTGGGGCTCTGCGTGACTGGGGGTGTCAGAAACCCTCGGGACTTTCCATGGTCCCTGAAGGTTCTGGGGCTGGAGGGGGAGGAGTGTGGTTGATCTGGGGGACAGGGCCAGGCGTGGGGGGAGTGCGCTCCACTGTGCCTGCACCCAGGCCAGGGCCCACCCCCACCCCCGCCCCGAGCTGGCCTGCCCGGTCCTGCCCCCCCCCCCGCAGGTAGCCAGAGGTGAGCCCTGCCCAGCCCCCTCTGCAATCCAGAAGCTCTGACAGCTGCGCTCAGATTCCCACAGGCCACGTCAGCCTGAGGGCCACGGCCCGAGACCTGTGGTCAGCGCTGGCGCTTGCTCTGCTGGGCTTGCTTTGCTCCCTTCTTGCTAGTAAAGGGGCAGGTAAAGGGCCCCTGTAGTGAGGATGGTTCAGCGAGGGTCGAGGCTGGAATGGGGGTGCAGTGGGGGTGGGCCGGGCTGTTCTGGAGGGGCGGGCAGCCGGGGGCAGGCCAGATGCCACGTGCTGCTGAGCCAGGGGCGCTCAAGGCAGGAGAGGACTCTGGGGGAGGTCCCCTGAGGGGCGGCGGGTGGGGGGAGCCCTCTGTCTGGCGCCCCTCTCCTCCCGCCGGTGCTGGCTGGCCGCTGGGCCGGCCCCTCTGCCCCCAGCCCTGCCCTCCTGCCCCTTACCGCAGAGGCTGCCTCCGCCCTCCCGCCCTCTCAGCCCGGCTCCGGCCTCCGGAAGCCGCACTTCCTGCCCGCCCGCCCGGCCAGCCCTGGGGGCAGCTGCTGAGGCGGAGACCTGGGAAGGCCGAGGCTGACCCGCGCCTGCCCCTGAAGTGAGCTCACACTTAAGTGGTCTCTCTCTCTTTTTAAAGATTTACTTATGCACAGAGCTGGGGTCCAGGCCAGCGGTGCAGGGGCGTGAGAGGCTTCCCCAGAGACAGACAGAGCGGGGAGCGGGACAGGCCCACTGACGAAGCCCACTGCTGAGGGGGCAGCGGGGAGACAGGAGGGGGCTGCCGCGCCCTGGGGTCACCTGTGGGCGGGGATGAACTGGCACCAGCAGTGGCTTCAGCTTCTCAGTGCTGCGCTGTGACCCGCCGCGCCCCCAGGGAGGGCCGGAGCAGTGTCTCTTAACTGTGTAAACTTTCAAACTCAAGTACTTTCTTTTTAAATAAAAAAAATATATAATAGTTGGTTTTTACATCTTTTGTGCCCTTTCCCAGCTCAGTTGTACTCCCCGTGGGCTTCCATCACGAATCACCCTGTGCACTCCCCCCCCACCCCCCACCCCGGTTTTTGATCCCATCCCCACCCCCCACCCCCGTAAAATGTCTCTGGTATATAGTTGTTCATTATTATTATTATTTTCTCCCCCTGGTCCTTTTACTCCTGCTATGAGCGAAACCATCCGGTATTTTTCCTTTTCTTTCTGGCTTATTCCACTAAGCGTGATCCCTTCCAGCTCCATCCATGCTGCTGCAAAAAGCATGTGTTTATCCTTTTTTAATCGCTGAGTAATATTCCGTTGTATATATGGACCACATCTTTTTAATCCAGCCATCCACTTTGGGGCATGTGGGCTGCCTCCATGTTTTCCCAATTGTAAATAAAACAGCAATAAACATGGGGGCTCCTTTTTGAATCAGTGTTTTTGTGTCTTTTGGGCAGATGCCTAGAGTGGGATTGCTGGGTCGTGGGGAAGCGCCATGTTGAGCATAAACTCAACTACTTTTTTTTTTTTTTAAGATTTATTTATTTGTGCAGGCCAGAGGTGCAGAGGCGGTGAGAGGACTCACCCGAGAAGAGTGGGGAGCAGAGCGGGCAGGTGGACGAAGCACACTGCTGAGGGGGCAGTGGGTGGGTCAGGAGGGGGCTGCTGGGCCCTGGGGGTCACCTGTGGGGGCAGGCGGGGATCGAACTCGTGCTGAGGTGGCTTCAGCTTCTCAGTGCTGTGCCTTAACCTGCTGCGCCCCCGGGGAGGGCCCAACTCAGGTGCCTTTTAAAAATTGTTTCCTGCCGGTGTAATCCAAGTGTGACTGGCATTTCGATTATTGTTGGGCTAGGTGTGCAGCGTGATTTGATTTGTCTCTGCTTTGGGGAGTGATCGCAGTAAGTCAGGTGAACACCTGTCACCTTACCTAGTCACAAGTCTTTTTCTTGTGATGAGGACTTCTCAGACCTTTAGGCTGGAAACATCCGATACACTCATTAGCTGAGGTCACCCCTGCGGACGCCACCCTGACTTACTGCATCTGTGGATTCTGCTTAGAGCCCGTGTAAAGTGAGGCCATGCGGAGCTTGTCCTTCTCCTCTGACTTCACGCCCTTGGCCGGCTGCCCCAGGGCAGCCTGTGGCCGCCGCTGCAGGGCCGCCCAGGGCCCTTTGGCGGCCGCGTCGTGTCCCAGCGTGGCGTTGCTGTGCGGCCCTCACCTCGGGTCACGCTGCAGCGAACGCGGGGGAGACGCGTCTTCAAG